TGATAGCCAAAGAGCACTGTTCCTGTTCTCCCAATCATTTTCGTTAACATTTTCTCCCGATGTCCCTTCTTTTTTTCTTCTTGCTGTGTTGACAGACCCTCACCCTCCTTTAGTTTTGATTTGGGTGGGACGGACTGAACGCTAATTGGTCTCCAGATCATCTTATGTTTTTTGCGGGCCACTAACCTGCTAGGCCTGCGTTGATCCATCCACTTTCCTTTCTCTGCCCATGAAATTCTCCTATTTTTTACCTGCACCAAATCTTTTTTTTCCTCCAGCCCATAAGATTTCGAGCCTCCATTTTCCCACTCAACCCTCTTCACATGACCACACAAATCCTTAATTTGAAATTTGGAAATCACAAGACCTAGTTCCGTAAACCGACTTTGCTCATCTGCCCTACCCAATTCGGGACCGGCATTCGTAGAGCTTCCGGGAATGAGGACAGTTGCACCGGCTCTAACCTCACCCCTAACTCCAAACTACAACCTGGACACCTAACTATTGAACTCGCCGAAGAAAGCTGGGTAACCGACTGTGCCATGTCACGCTCCTTTTTCGTCACCCACTCCGAAGGCACCAGTTTAACTCCAAACACGTCATGAATAGCTTCCATTATTTGCCACTGCCCATCTGCCCTTAACCCCTCCAGCAGGAATAACCTGTTCATCCTTTCTCTTGGACCCTCCTTTCCTTCAGAGAATACCAGGAACTGTCCTTGACTGTTGCTACTTAAAGCCATCCAGAGTGTTCTCCATCTGCTACTCCGACTCCAACCCCACGGCCCTTCCCCCTTGTTTGACCTGAACACTCTGAAGCATTGAATCAACCACTTCACCTCCTCCTGGAAAAAGATGGACTTCCGAAACCCCTTTCCATTTTCAAACACCCTAACTCCCATGCCTTCCCCCAACACATCAAAGGTCTTTTGCTCTATCACCAAGAATCTCCTTTGTCCTACGACCATGACCCGGCAGTATCAGCGCTGCCTTGAAAGGCAGCGGCACGAAGACTCTTGCTCTCTCTCACTTTCTCTCGCTCAATATTGAATACTTTCCCACCTTATAAGTCAGTACATACAAACTTACTCTTGGGACTTGAGATTTTTGAGATTATGTCATTTCAAAAGAGTATGTTTGCTTGTGCCAGGCATAACATTGCTGTGGAAAGATGTAAAGGAGATTTGAATTTTTTGGCTAGCTGGTACTGCTATTTGTGTGAATGTGGGAAAGTGTTAGCACTTGCTTAATTTGCCTGTATCCTAAGATGTATTTATTTTTATTTTGTTCTATTTTTTGGGAGAGGGTGTGAGTTTCTTTTTTTTCTTTTTTTCTTTTTCATTTGGATACGAAAAGAAGAAATATCATTGAGAATGAAAGATATAAAACAAGAAGATTAGGCATCTTCTAACAGAAGAAAAAGAAAACAAAAGAAAAAAAAAAGAATGACTAACTAAACATTTGAAGAAATAGCCAGCCAATCTCTAAACTAAAATGGGAATTTCCTCCAAATAACTGTTGGCCTTAGCCGAAGCAGAGGCCATGAGATGAAGTTCGTCCCAAATAATCATCAAAGGTGACTTAGGGTCCTGAGATATTCTTGCATCTTGCTCCAAGTAAATTACCCACAACCTGACGGAGATAGCCCCAATCTGAGAGATTTGAACTCCCTCTTCATTACTGGAATCATTAGAAGAGAGACTTAATACACTGAGGGATAACCCAAGAGAATCCAACGTTTTAAAAAACTTGAGTCCATATATTCCACATCACATCACAGTGCAAAAAGAGGTGGTTATGAAGCTGGACAGCTCTGTAACACATAACAGTGCAAAAAGTGGTGGTTATGAAGCTGGGCAGCTCTGTAACACATCACAATGTAAAAAGAGGTGTTTTACATTAACTCTTACTCCTCCCTCAATTCTCATGTCCTTTGATGATTAAAACTAGGTGTAGTATAGGAAGATATTTGTCAGTTGGGAATTTGTATTAAGCAAAAGAAGCTTATAATTGGTATATGTACTGTTAGTGATGCACCATAGGGTATTGTTGGTTTATTGACTGGTGTTTTACCATTTACATTTTCTTTTGACCCACTATTTTTGGTTTAAAATGTCTACTGAATGATTCTACAATGCTTAATGCAAGCTTTGCTGGAGATGCGGTTCAAGCAAAGTGAGCATGCAAGAGTCAAATGGCATTGGCTAGAATTGATTAAATTGGTGCACCGGCTATTTATTCCTTGGAATAAAAACAGAAAAACATGTTTTGCTGCATTAATTGTCATATCCTAATAATGCTTGTCTATTTTGTGGTTCGACTGTTCTAATGGTTTCATAATGCTTTCTGTTTGCAGTCCACAAACACTGGTTCGTGCTTTGAGGTATGTTTCTGGAAGTGTTTGGGGTCTCTGATACAATTTTTTGGTCTTCCCCATGTTCTCTTCAATTATAGATTATATATGTACCAAACATTCCGGATACCAAAGAAGGAACTTCAAGAATGATCTAAATAAAATTATTGTGCACAAGCGAAGGGAAAACTCATTTAGTTATTTGAAAATTTAGAGACAAATGCCATGGTTGATAGAGATCATGAGTTTGATATTTTTATATTTTGAGGGATAGCGGAAAAGAGTGTACAGACAAGCCGTATTTGGTTGGCTTAGACATAAATTTAAAAAATTGGATTTGATTTCTAACCTTTTCTGTCACTATATTTAACGTTAAAATTGGCATCCTTTTGATTGGTTTATATCAGTTTAAGGGGAAGGTGATTTGAAGCTCTTTTATGCACAAATCCACTTTGTACAGCAAACTTTTTAACAAGTTTCTTTATAAGGTTTAGATTGTAATGAAGTTATCTCGACTTGACTTTGGAAATCTTATAATTTTCTTCTCTAACTTTATGATAAATTTAATTTTTCCTGGGATATTTGATGCTTGTGCTGCATTCTCTTGTTGACAATGGTGAGAAATATTTTTTGTTTTTGCTGCAGTACTAATATCACAACTACCTGATTTTACTTTGATTTTTATTACATTAGAGTTGTTGAAATGCAAGAAATTCTTGATCAACAACTTGCTGAAGAGGCAGCTGAGGCTGAAGGAGGAGGTGCAATGGCAGCAATTACTAATCCTCGTAGACCTGGCAAGTAAGTATGTTTTGTTGGCATGTTTTGTACTCATTGATCTTAAAAGTCGGATCTAAACCTGTTTTTTGCTTTTTCTTTTTTCTGTTGCTCAGATGAATCTAAGATATGTATATGACCAACTATTGGAATTTCAAGTTAAAATAGAAGTGATCAATTTGAATTTTCTTAAAAATCAATAGAAAATTTTGAAGGTTTTAATTATGAAAGACGAATTGCACATAAAACTTTGTTTTGCATGGTTATGAGCGACTAGAACAATTGCAAAAATTAGAACTTGTGATTAGATGAGGGTTGATGCATAAAAGAACTGCAGAAGAAGTACTACTATTCTTATTTGAGGTATTGATATTTATTTTGGATTTATATCCTAAATAAATTAATAGTTCAGTATTATTTTAATTATATTACTCATTTAGTTATACTTTGCTTTTCTATTTAATTTAAGATTGTATTGATTAGTTTAGTATTAGATACTTTTTAGAATTTTTTTGAGGATTAGTATCAAGGGCATACATAAATATATAAGTCTTTTAATTGTAAGATAGACATTTAATTTTAATAAATCTTATGTTATTCTTCAATAATAAGTTTCTACTAGGTGTAGGGTAATCGAGGCGAAGTTTGATACTGTAGATAGAGCATGGTATTCCAGAACTTCGTCTAGACTACAATAGGAAAAGGTTGTGGATATAGGGAGAAATATATTTCAAGGATGCATCAAGTGTAGGATTGGCGATGGGAGAAGAATCAGTTTCTGATCAAATCTTTGGTTTATGGTTGAAGCTTTTAGAGATCAATTTCCTCATATTTTTGATATCGTACGAAACAAAAATATCATAGTTAGTGAGTCATTCAGAATCTTTGGGGAGCTCTGGAATGGCAAGGGGAGATGATGAGAAAGCTCGATGATTGGGAGGTTAATGAGTACGAGTCCTTCTCAATTCTATATCTACAACCTATCTAAATGAGAGAAATGATCAACCAGTTTGAAACCTAAGGGCTGAGGGTATATGCATGGTAAAATCTTTCTATAATAACTTGGTTAAGAATGATTCCACTGAGGTAAGCTTTCTGTACAAGTAAATCTAGAAGGTGAGTGCTCTTCCCAGAATGACTTTTTTCGTTTGGGAAGCAGGGAGTGGATGTATACTTATTATTGACAAGCTAATGAGGAGGGCAAAGATTTTGCTAATGGGTGCGGAGGAGTTTTGCAATCATATCTTGTTGTAATGTCCATTGGCGTATAAGTTATGGACCATGGTATATGGGTTATTAGGAATTAGTTGAGTTATGGCAGGTCAGGGATGATTTGGGCATGGAAGGGTATTAGTGTGGGAAAAAGCAAGTGTCTCATCTCTTTTGGTATTTTTTGGGTTGTATTGAAAGAGAGAAATATGAGACCTTTTGAGAGGGTGGAAATTTACTTCGATAGAGTTAGATGTAGATGGTTCCAAATTGTGAACTTTTAATAATAGGTCATTCTTTGCAATACATGGAAGATTTTGGGAATCTTACAGATATCTTGATTGATTGTAAAAAATTTTATACATTGGTTGACACCCCCTTAATGCTTGTAATTGATGATACAGACTACTTAATTTCAAGAAAAAATTTCTCCTAGGTGTATTCTAATAATTCTTATTTTTTTGGACAGCTTCAACCCTAGTGGAGTTTTTAGTTATTCTTGTAGGTTGGACGTTATGGAAGCTCCTTCTCAAGCTTGAATGAGATCAAGTAAATCTATCCCTGTTTTTGTGTTGCATCTTTTGGTGTCATAGCATAGTGTATCTTGATCCTCTAGTATCACTCTTGAGTGATTTAGATACTCAGTATCCAAATGCGTGCTCTCTGATTTGGAAGGAAACAACACAAACCACAAAAAAGAAGGAGAAGAACAATGAAAGGCTCAACACCTTTCCTCAACATTCAAATGCTCTAGTCATAACTATTGCTGAAAATCACCACCTTTCATCTAGGTTACTGTCTGGGTGCTATTGTCAAAGACCAGGAAGAGATTGTAACCACTGTTTGCTAGAGATACAGAGAAGAAAGATTTGCTTTAATGCTGTCTATTTGCCATCTTCAGAGAGTTGGGTTGATGAGCTAGCACATGTAAGTCGTTGGCTACCATAGGAGCCGCTACTCTAGTTTCATTTTGATTCACATATCAAATTTAAATTTTGATCATATGGTCAATGGGTCAAAATTTGGAGAGTAATTTGATAACTACTGTAGCATGAATTGAGATGATGATTGCTGTGGCTTTTAACGTTGATCATTGACCATTGATCAGTGTGTTGAGGCATATTTTTAAAGTTGACCAGAGACTTTCTTAAGGTTTTTAGCTGTGCCCCATCAATTTTTGAGATTTGTATTGTCAAATTCATATTCTGGAATCAGTTTTTATGTGATTTGAATATTTTATGTAAGTGCTTATATTTTTTAAAAAATAAAAAGTATGGTATATATCATTAACTATAAGCACCAAGGGGGTGCTAGTCTATGTACTAAAATATTTACAGATCAAAATAAGGTCTCATAATTCTTCCATCGAATACAAATGATGACCCATGACCAAAAAACCCAATATCTAGAGCCATCTAACTCTAACCCTATCGGTTTCCTCTTCCATCCTTCAAAAGTTTTGGTGTGGTCCATACTGCACTCTGTAACTAGATGATGTGGGAGGACACAGGGAAGATTTTTTTGACTCTTCGAACCTTAACTAAATATGCAATCAGAGACTTACTCGCTTAAATAAACCCCTCCCTGTTTGAATCTACACCCAATTATATGGAATGTAAAAACAAGAAATAAAAAAATTAAAACGCAAAAAAGAAAGACGTCACGACTTACTCAATAAATCGATCTCAATTTCTTAACTCAACAAGATTTCGGAAAGCTCCCTAACTTCAAAGAACTTGAATACGCTAAGAAAATTAGCCACAACTAATTTTTGAAGAAAACAAAAGCTTTAACTTTTATTGATAAACTGAATTGTTCTTTACATCCTAAGATTTTAGACCTTTATATAAATTTTATTTTCTAATTCTATTCAGAATAGGATTTATTCCTATCCAAATTTTAGGACTTAATTTAATTAGAAACCTTACATTTAAATTAATTAAAATAATCAAACTCTATTTAGTAGACTAATTTAAACAAATAAAATAAATTAAAATAATACAACTCCTCCTTGTAGTTGAAGTTGACTTCCTCTTTTGACTTGGACTCCAACTTATCATTCTTTTTTTGTTCTTAATTCTTGATAATTCTTGAATGGGAGTCTTGGTGTAAATCACTTAAATTTGATGTAGGATTCTTCAAGAGGTCTTCAACATGCAGATTTCCTTCTGGGCCGAATTCATGGAGTTTCCGGGTTTCTTTTTCATGTTGAATTCTTGCTCCATCTCCTTGGTTGATTGTTTGTGACTTGAACTCTTCTTTTTCCAGCTTGTATTCTTCTGTGGTGATGTGGATTTCTTCTTGTTTTAGGACTTGTAATGAAGGTAGGAGAATGGTCTCCTCATGTGGGTGGAAGTCCTCTTCTTTTCCATGATGTTTGAATTGAACAAGACTTGGGGATTCTTTGGCTCATTGCTTTAAGGAGTCTTCTTCTTCCTTTTTCTTCTTGAAATCGGATTGCTCCCCCTCCTCCTCCTCATCGGATTCAAAGAGAATCAACCTCCTCTTGCAGCTAAGCCGCTCTTCCCTTGGTGAGTCTCGGCCTTGGCCAACGGGTGGAGAAATTGTTGGCCGGTTCTTTTTGGCCTTCTTGGGCGGCAGGCAAGCGCACCTTGATCCTCCAAGGTGGACCTTGGGCTCAAGGCCCTCTTCTCCTCTCGGGTTGGGCTCTCCAAGCTCCTTTTGAACCTGGCTTTGGTGGCATGACTCGTGGGCCTCCGGGTTTTGGCCCTTGGCCGCTTGGGTCGAGTCTTTTGGCCTCCATGGGCCTCATCTTGGGCCTTGGAATCTGGTTGGCTTCAAGAGGGTCCAGCCCATTAGGATCCAAGCCCATAAGTGGGCGGTCATGTGCATAGGAGTGCGCGGCGCATGCCTCACTTGTGGATTGCTTTGCAGGCAGGTCTGCGGATTTGTGGGTATTTGGCCCGCAGTTTGGCAGCTTCTTGCGGCCTTCCCATTCAACCTGGGACTCCTCTTTTGACAGGGATTCACAACTTTCGGATATCATTTCAAGTTCTCATGTTTCTTTCGTTGCACACCACCTAAAGATTGCAAGGGGAATGAGACCCAACTGTTTTTTCAGACCACTAATACCCTTTCATCCCCATATCTCATCCCTTATATTACCAGTCATTACCTAGCTAATCTCCAAAAATCCATATGCCATAATCCATAGAATAGATGCAAAAGGATTCCATAGTAAAATATGGTTATAAGTCTCTTTTGTCCTCTTACGTAAAGAGTAACTGTTCACTATAATTTTTCTCCATCTCATCAATTTGTCCATGGTAATAATAGATTCACACTCTTCTTGCCAAGCAAAGAAAGCAACTTTGAGAGGAGTATTCACTTTCCAAATTTACCGGAAATGAAACTTGTTCTCTAATGTATTATTCTTGGTCAAATAATTGTAGAAGGATAAAACCGTGAATTTCTCTGCTGAGTTGAGGGTTTAAACCGGTTGGTCATAATTATCATATAGAGATGTTGAAGACAATGAGTTCAAAAGAGTTTCATATTCATTTATTTGTCAATCATTAAGGTTCCTCAATATCTCCACGTGCCACTCCCTTCCTCCCCAAAGTCTTTATAGACTCATTAACTGAAATATCCTTATATCTTGCCATAGCAAAGATCTGTAGGAACCTGTCTCTAAGTGCATCCTCTCCAAGCCAAGGTCCATTCAAAAGCTGGTTCTCTCCTCATTTCCAACTCTCCACCTAGTATTTTCCTGAAATTTATACCTACTCGTACATATATTTTTTTCGTACTCCCATGCCATGCGGTCTTTTGAAGTCATATTATCATTTGAAGTCATAGTCTCTTGAGACGTTCAGAGAGATGGGTTTTGAGGGTCTTAGATTTGGTCAAGATATAGTTCAAATGTCCCATCTTGAGCTTGCTAATGGTAAGATCCTTCGTCTGTCAAATGACCATGCTCATTTCTATATTGTGATCACTACGTTGAATATTTTTTGGATTATCTAAGGTTTGCACATTAACCTTAGGATGAGCAGCCTTGCAGATTTTAATGTTGAGATTTAGGGTGTGAGGCCTCTTGCTACTTATATAAATGTGATGTTTTAAAGTGGCCCTTGACCTTCTTTCTATTTCCCTTAGAGGGAATCTGCGAGCTAGTCCCTTGGATTTATATCTAAGTGAGTAGATTATTGGAAGGGTGCCCTTTTCTCTCTCAGGGATAGGGTTCCTCTTATTCTATCTTGCTTGTCTAGCATCCCCATTTCGCCATTCTCTTTTAAAATCCTTAGAGGTTTGGTTAATAAAATTAAGGGGGCGATGAGATGTTTACTTTGCACGAGGTTGAGCGGGTCCAAAGAGATGAATTAGTTAGTTGGGAGAACTGTTGTCAGGGCAAAGAAGTGAGTGGTCTTGGTATTGTAATTCGTCACTGTAAAAGTTTGTCTTTTTTTAATTAAATGGTTATGAAGGTTTCCTTTGAAACCTTATTCTCTATGGTAGAGGGTTATAGAGACCAAGTATGGTCTTCACCAGAATGGATGAGACTCCAAATTGTTTTGTGCACTTACAAGAGCTCATGGAAGGCTGTTTATGATCTATATTTTTTTTTTCTTAACATTCATTTAGCTGAGTGTTGGAGATGACTCTCAATTTCTTTTTTGGGAGGATGACAAGAGCTCATGGA